ATCCTAAGGTCCGGTTGCAGGTTTGGAAATCGCTTCCCGATCGTACGGTAATCGCGATTCCCCAAACTTCAAATTATTGAATCGGAACATCCGGGGCACCGATTCACGATCCGCGAATTCCTATAGGTTCCTAAGAGTACCTAGATCAACATACTTCAGTTTGGAAATGATCCAACGGTTAGAACTTATCGAACCCGGATAACGCACAATATGCGAAATCCGTTCGATAGTCAAACGATATCCAAATTGAGATCCGCAAAATCCTACGCACTCGTGACAACCTAAGGATCTCATCAAGATGAAAAACAACTTCACCAGCCTTGCCCACGCGCCGCCACACGCGCCGGCAGAGCGCGGGTGTGTAGAGAGATTTCCGGCGACGGAAAATCTCCAAATTACGAACCACCCTTCCAATCCTAGATACTACTCGAAGAATGGAGCAACTTTTTCAACTATGGCAACGTCCAATTCGGACGGCAAGTGGCCGGAATTTCAGATTGAAAACCGGCCAAAACCTAGATTTCAAATTCGTGAATTTAACCTGCAAATCAATCAATTCCTATGCCACAGCCAGCTAGAACACAGAAAATGGATGAGAAACCTCACCTTACCCGTCGGAAATGGTGGCTGGAGGAGAGAGATCGAGCGGCTGGAAGTTCCAGTCAATTCCGGCAACGTTTCTGCGTTTTTCGGCGAGCACAGTGGATGGTGATGGTCGGGAAGTGACGAGGGAGAGCTGACGGTTCAGACGAGACCGGTCTCGAGGCCGGTCGTGGACTGTAGCGGCGGCGGTGGTCTTGGAAGGTGGTGGCTGTGAGAAGACAAAGGGGAGAGGGAACGCGGGAGAGAAAGAGAGAGAGAGAGAGAGAAGAAGTGAGGGGTAAAAATAAAAAAAAAATCAGATTTTACCCCAAACTCTTTTCAAAATATTTACGGTTCCGCCACCGAACAAGTTTTGATCGCCAAAACTTCGTTAAATCTCCGATTCAAGCCTACCGCCTGTCTACGGTTTCGTCTCAGTACCACCTACGCAACCAGTAGGCCTGAAATTATGGTGGTGAAATCGTCTAATGGGGTGCCGTGTTTAAGGTCTGTCCAGCATGAGGCAGAGGTGCTCATCAAACTTAAGGGCTGCCCTTCTGTTATTGAGTGCTATGGTGGACAATTCACGCCGATGAGAATGGTGAGAAGGTCTACAATTTGTTCTTGGAATATGCCTCTGGCGGAAGCCTTGATCATCTGATCAAGAAATCCGACGGTTGTGGATTGCCGGAATCTGAGGTTAGGTGGTATACCAAGTCAATTCTTGAAGGGGTTAAGCACATTCACCAGTGTGATTATGTTCACTGCGATTTGACCCCAGAGAACATTCTGCTTGTGCCTACCACCACAAGTTGTGGAAGTACTAGTTTGGTGGCAAAGATAGCCGATTTCGGATTGGCTAAGAGAACAAAAGAAAATGTCGGTGGATCTGGATGTAGAGGCTCTCCAATGTATCTGTCCCCAGAAGCTTTGCTTGACAAGTTGCAGGATCAGCCCTCTGCAATTTGGTCTGTTGGTTGCATTGTGCTTGAGATGCTCACCGGGAAGCCCCCATGGGATACGAGTTATTGTTGGAAGCCTAGGGATTTCCTGAACAAGCTGGTTGTTGACTCTCCCAAGATTCCAGCTAAAATCTCAAAGGAGGGGAGGGATTTTCTAAAGATCTGCCTGGCCTTCAATCCCTGTAAAAGGTTAACTGCAGAAGAGCTCTTATCTCATCCGTTCGTTGCTCAGTCAATACCACCAGAAGAATATAATGGAGCTTCACAATCTGATACTGCAAGTGTAACTTTGAGTTCAAGCAGTGAAGAAGTGACTCTGCTTTGATGTTATAAAGTGATCAGTTCAAGTTTGTAAGGGTAGAGACTCTACAAAATTTCTGTGTAATGATCCTAATTTCTGTCCTTTTAATTGAAATAGAATTAATTACTGAGATATGATTCAAAAGTAGAAAAATGATTAGCATTTGTAGCAGAGGGGATTTATTCAAGAAATAATTTTTTGGATTTGTTTGAATGGTTTCTAAGATCTCTCTCTCTCTCTCTCTCTCTCTCTCTCTCACACACAGACACATATGATAGAGAAAAAGAATTGCACTAGTCTCCTGTTCAAATTTCATTGTCCTGCTTCATATAGTCAATGATCAGTAAACCACCAGAAGACAAGGACACTGCAGCAATCTGGCAAACCAGAGAATCCCAGTAGAAGTAGCACAACAGAAAAATATCTTCTGGTTCCTCTGAGCCAAGCTAAATAGAAAACTCACTATTATCTTCTATTGGAAAGTCACCTTTTCCATTATAATCAGTGCCCTGAGCCAATTATTCTCCCAAAAATATCCTCTCTCCAGCCTCTCATACACCCCTAACTAACAAAATGTGACTTTCAGCGCTACGATCTCTATTAATTACACTTACAAGTTCAAAGATATCATTGGATATATATATCTATAAAGTATATATTGTAGGAATTTGTTTAAGGTGATGTTAAAACTATGCAGTGGGGTAAGAGGCAGACATCGCTATGCCACAAAGTCCTTCAGCTGCATCAAAATCTCTTTGCATTCTTAAGTACCCCTCTTCACCCCATTCTGTCCCCCATGAGTTCTGTACTAACCAATACTTGGTCCCATCATCACTCTCGCCGTAACCAACTGCAGTAACACCATGGTCTAGGCTCGTTCCACAAGTTCCCGTAGACACCACTTGAATAGAATTGGAAATCAGAACCACTAGCATCAATGGCAACAGAAACTGGTTGCTGAGAAACAGTGGTAAGAAGAGCCTTTTCACTCTTTGCAGGAACATCTTCATACCCAGTTATCCTGGCTGCAATGGTGGCTTCTTTCTTGGTGTTGCATGTACCATCAACACCGTTGTAGGGGTAAATAACTTCGGTTCTAATCCCATGATTTTGTTGGATGAACTGAAAGGCATCGTCCATCTAGCCACCTTCACAACCTTGGTCTTCTCCACTTGTATCACAATCTACCAACTCTTGCTCGGACAAAGAGATCAATTTACCAGTGGTAAGCTGAGTAATTCCTTCCGTGGTTGCCACTGCGGAAAAAGCCCAACAACATCCTGTATTTTGATTGCAATTAACAGTAGTTAGAAAAACATAAACAATTTAATAAGCTCCAAAAGAAGACTATCCAGTGTTTCTTTAAATTAATAAACTTAGCTAGACGCTTAATTACCACATTGGCCTTGGTCCTTGATAGGAGTTACAGCTCTTTTCTTTCTCCAGTCCATTGAAGCCGGGACTGCTGCTGTAACATTTTCGTATTTGAGAGAAGTATTCTTTGTGGAACATTCATGCCCCTTGAATCCATTTCTTAAGGCTTTGAATTCTTCATTTGTAAGGTCTGCAATTGATGCTCAATTTGTAAGATTTCTTCGCATCCTTATTGGAAGATTCGATAAACGCTACGTTTTCTTTCTTTAAATATATTGAATCGCTTCTCGTTATATACGCAGCCATAACGAGCAAGTCATTGCTCATATCTCCCACCCATTGATGCATCTTGGAGACTGCAAAAAGTGGCTTCACAAGACCAAGCACCCGTCAAGAGGATCAAGCCAAAACATATAGATATAATTTGCACAGCTGGTTGTTAATCAATTCCATTGAAGCTAGTGCTAGTGGCAAAGCAGCTAGGATTTGATAAGGTAAATGAATCAATGAGCAGGTGTACTGAAATACTAGACTGCTCTGCAGTACTTTAATTATATAGAGAACATAATGGCCTTTCTTTACATCTTTGTGTCGTGCCGTACAAATTAATCTGCTATTATGATGTTGACTTGCAAGATTTATAGCTCTTTTGATGCCACGGTAAGTTACTTGCTAAACGCCTAAACTATGAGGACTCTAATACCTAGCTATTCAGTGCTATTCTCACAATTTTTGTCCCCACTTATTAAAAACAAGAAATAAAGAAAATTGTAAAGTTTAGATACGTGGTGCTACACCTAGCTAGCATGTTTGTTGCACTTCTCAAATTTTGATGTTGGTGTGTTTCTCATGTTTGTTTTTAATATGACTAATTTTTTTGCTTTAGTACTTGTTGGCTATATATATGCAGAAGCTGGATCGTAAGCATGTAACTTGCATATTATTTTCATGTGGTTGCAGGGACGAGCTCAGGTGGCCTTCTAGCGGCCATGCTTACTACCCCATATGAAAATAATCGTCCCTTGTATGCTGTTGAAGATATCATTCCTTTTTATCTCGAACACTGCCCTACAATCTTCCCCCAATTCAGGTACAGTTGATTGTTGACAGAGAGACCACATTGTTGTACTACGTACCTTTCGTATGCATATCATATTCCTTGCATCGTGAATTCGCACATTATTTGAAACTTTTAAGAGGACCCAAACAAAAGCAATCTTGACGATGAGAGCTGTTGGACAAGGAATGTTGTATGCATACGAAAGGTACATAGTACGACAATGCGTTCTCCTTGTCAACAAGTAACTGTACCTAGTAACTGTACGACAATGGTTTCTCAGACTCTCTCTCTCTCTCCTTTGTGTTGCTACAGAAGTGAATGTTTAATGTGATAATGTTGACAAACTGAGTAAAATCTTATATGCTTTATTTGTTTTTTTTTTCAAAACTCCATTGATAGAAGTTTAATTTGTGCGTATAAGTTTTCGAATTCCACTAGTCTCTCCTGCATCAAATTTCATTGTCCTGCTTCATGTAGTCAATGATCAGTTAACCACCAGAAGAGAAGGACACTGCAGCAATTGGAAAACCAGAGAATCCCAGTAGAAGTAGCACAACAAAAAAAATCACAAAATTTCTCTGAGCCAAGCTATATACATTCATAACCACATGAAATAGAAGACTCGCTATCACCAGTCAAATCATTATAGATATCCATTTATGTTCTAAAATATCATCAGTCCCCCCACAAATCATATCCTTCATCCAATTATTCTTCCAAAATATCATCTTAAAGGCATAATAGAAATGGAAGTGAAGCTATTTTAAAGGCATAATAGACAGCTTGTCTCAGTTGCTGTAATATTACTATATTGAGACCATTAAAAGTACACAGATATTTCGATAAAAACTTGAATTATATGTTTGTACACTTTTGTGGTTACAGACTTGACATGATTGATTTGAATTGATTCATATTACAAACAAAAAAGGAATACAACAACAAACAACCTAGCTGGAATACCGAAATCCGGCAGGGAAGGATGCTTTCATTGTACAATGGCAGAGTTTGCGTGGTAATCTGAGCTCGGTTTGAAGCAACATACACCAGATGCGTAGCCCAAAAAAGAGTTAACCAGCTTCACCTTGGTATGACCCTCTTTTGATGATTGTGGCTGCGCTACGAATGGACGAGACAAGAGACTTTCCGCTGTTAATCTTTCCCTGCCGTTTATCGCAAGGCAACTCTTGAGAAAATCCATGGCCACATCTGAGATTCCAGTCGGAATTTTGCAAGTACGTAGATGATCAAACATCAACACGTCAGGGAGATTGTTTGGATTGTAACCAGGCTTCAAATTCCAGGGCGACTTGCCGGTTAGCATCTCAAACACAATACAACCTAGAGACCAAATATCAGAGGACTGATCTTGTTTGTTATTAATAAAAGCCTCTGGGGACAGATACCTAGGCGTGCCTCTCCATCGACTGTAATTCACCTTGGTTTTCTTAGCGAGTCCAAAATCTGCAATCTTGGCTACAAAACTAGTACCACCAGAACTAGTTGTTGTGGTAGGCACAAGCAAAATGTTGTCCGGCTTCAAATCGCAGTGAACATAGTCACACTTGTGAATATGTTGAATCCCTTCAAGAATTGACCTTGTGTATCTTCTAACATCATATTCGGGTAATTTATGACCTTTGGATTTATGTATGAGACCATCTAGGGTTCCTCCGGAAGCAAATTCTAACAACAAGTTGTAGACCATGTCACCCTTGTCTGTGGCCGTGGTCTCTTCACCCAAGCGCTCGATAATGAAAGGGCAACCCTTGATCTCAAGGAGAACGTCTGACTCATGTTTAATGGACTCAGAAGCAGAGACCTTCGCTGATTTCACCGCCATCATTTCTCGCAAATTGAGCATACGGCGGCTATGCTCATCCTTTGTTGGTTTCCTGGGAGTAGCAAGAAAAACATAACCATAGCTTCCTTTTCCAATCAACTTCCCTCTCAACCAGTGCACTCCATGACTGCACATGCTGTGCTTTTCTCCGTCTAATTTTTCTTCTACCTTTCTTTTCATTATTCTTCTTCACTCAGTAGTTCTTTGTTTTCTCCACAAGGAAATAAGCTTGTCTTTCTGACAGAATTAGCGGCTGCTTGATTGTGCTCTGTAATGCTTTATAGTTTACTCTAGGGCATTGGAAGATGCATCGAATGTGTGGTTTAGGGTATAAAGTCGGTCAGGTTTAATTGATGCTTATCAGGTTTTCATTTGGGACGTGAAGACCAAGCTACTAGCTAACCAATAACATAATTTCCAGATTGGTTTATCATTTTTTCTTTCTTATCTTTTTGTTAAATTTTAGAAACTTCATTTACCTATAACTTAGGAAAGAGTAAGGACTTGTCGCTTGGAAAGATCCTAATCTTGACCAAACAAATTTTTACATTTTAATTTGGAGATGGCGTTAATATGGTAATTATCTAAAAAACCATTTTTTTTTCATATTTCAATATATCTCGCAAGATTTGGATTTCATGTCTTTTCAATGCTAGGATTTATTTTCTTCAAAACCTAGTTTTCTTCTCCATTTTATAGAAAATTTGGCATAAGTCCAATTCTTATGAGAGATGTTGGGTGAAATCC